CATAGTATTCCATTGTGTAAATGTACCATCGTTGTTTGATCCATTCATTTACTGATAGGCACCTAGGTTGCTTCCAGCACTAGGCTATTGTAAATTGTGCTGTTATGAACATTGGGGTGCATAGATTCTTTTGGATTGGTGTTTCACATTCTTAGGGTATAATTCCAGGAGTGGAATTGCCAGGTCAAAAGGCAGTTCCATTTTTAGTTTTCTGGGGAAATTCCATACTGCTTTCCACAGTGGTTGCACTAGTCTGAAATCCCACCAACAGTGCACTAGGATTCCCTTTTCTCCACATCCTCTCCAACACTTGTTGTTTGTTGCTTTGTTTATGATGGCCATTCTGACCAGTGTGGCGTGGTATCTCATTGTGGTTTTAATTTGCATTTTTCTGATGGCTAGTGATGTTGAGCATCTTTTCATATTTCTCTGGGGCCTCTGTATGTCCTCCTTGGAGAAGTGTCTGTTCAACTCTTTTGCACATTTTTGATTGGGTTGTTCGCTTCCTGGAGTGGAGTCATGTGAATTCTTTATATATTTCGGAGATCAAACCCTTTTCCAAGGTATCATTGGCAAATATGTTTTCCCATATAGTGGTTCTCTTTTCATTTTAATGCTGTTTTCTTTAGGCATGCAGAAGTTTTTTTAATTTGATGAGGTCCCATTTGTCTGTTCTTGCCTTTATGTCCCTTGCTCTAGGGGACATATTGGTGAACATATTGCTGCATTGAATGTCTGAGATTTTTCTGCCAATGTTTCTCTAGGAGTTTCATGGTATCATGACTTATAGTCAATCTGCCTTGAATACATTTTTGTGTATGGCGTAAGTTGGTGATTGAGTTTCATTTTGTTGCATGTAGCTGTCCAGATCTCCCAACTCCATTTGTTGGAGAAGCTATTTTTACTCCATTTATGCTTCTGCCCCCTTTGTCAAACATTAGTTGATCATAGAGACTTGGGTTTATTTCTGGGCTGTGTATTCTGTTTCATTGGTCTATGTGTCTGTTCTTATGCCAGTACCCAATCTGTTTTGATTACAGTGGCCTTGTAATACAGTTGGATACCAGGTATTGTGATCCCTCCTACTTTGTTCTTTTTTTCTCAAAATTTTAAAGAAAAGGATGACTTGAACTCTCCCCTATACACAGTTGGGTGCTCTTTCTTCCTCTGTTACACACACAGGGGATCGAGAGCAGGAAGAGCTAGAGGGAAGGCTGTGACCCAAATCCCTTGGAAAGATGTCTGTATAAATAAGTCCTTGAAGCAAAAGCTGAATTCAACAACCATAACTCAACCTCCTTCTTTAAGGTGGGAAAAAAAATTCTTAAGCTTTTCAGCAACAACTTATATGCCTCTTCTGTATAGTTGTTTGTAAGTATCCACTCCACCTTCTAGAATAAGCCATATTTTTCCTCCAAGCATATTATTTGTTCTGTTATTTTGCTTATGAAATGAGGCCACCACTCTACATAGGCGTGTTTTTTTGCTCCTGTGAGCACAGAAGTACAAAGTGTATCTAGCCTGGCTGTGTGTCTTCTAACAAATATGTGCCTCTGATGCTCTGCACAGCAGCATCTCTTCCTTGGTGGGCAGGGAGTTCAGGGGCACTGGACCCACTGGGTCTCCAGAAGCCAGAACAAGGCTGGGCCTTGGACTGGGCAGTGCTATTCCACTATTTGCAAGCAGGAATGGAGAGTTTTGTTTCTGATCCATAGAAGTGAGTTACTACCCAACCCTAATGCTTTCAGAAAACATCTAGAAATTGTGGACAATGGTCAGAGAACAACTGTCTGAGACTTCTGCAAAGTGAACAAAAGTTGGGTGAGTCTGGAGGTAAAGAGCACCAAGGAAGCAGGCAACATGAGTTGCTTCCTGTTTACTGACGCCTGACTCTGTGAGCAGCCACAGTCTGTGTGGTCAGCAGAGCCAGGAAGAACCCGTGGCAACTATGCTCTCAGGGGATGAAGGTGGAAAACCCAGAAGAAAGAAAGTCACAGAGAAAAAACAAAATTCTGTGCATAAACTTGCCCCAAGTATCCTGACATGTGTTCTAAAACAACTGACAGGCAGAGGTGATACAGATGGAAGTAAAAATACCAGCATTCTTCCTGATAAAAGCTGGATCAAAGGATGTGCCTTAGATGTGTGCCAAAAATAACCCCTAAACCTGAACCCTAGGAGTTGATTTATTCACAAGCCCAGCTGCTGAATCTACCACTCTTTACCCCTCACACACCCTACAGACCACTGTCCCTGTGCACTTGAGCTTGGAGGAACACAAAGCCCAGGCCTCTCCAGCAGGATGAGCCCAGAGAGACCCACCAAGGACCACACTCACCTTTCACAGAACTCCCAGTCTGAGAGTCTCCCCAGAAAGATGGGAGGGCAGGGGGGCCCAGCAGTCCTGCTGGTTGATAGGCCACCTCTGAGAAGGGGACACTGGTGCAAGGCCTGAGTGTTCCTTCTGAGGTCAAGGTGCCACCGTGTCCATTCCTACATCCACAGAGGTGCTGCAGGACTCCATCCTCAGCACAGTGGCTGCTGTTGCTGCTGCTTTCTTCCTCCTGCCTGTGAATTCTCAGGTCTGGATTCCCTGCCACATCTCAGGGATAAGCTTCTGTCCCCTGAGGGTCTCCCAGGCTGGAGACTCAGCCCATTTTTTATGTGTGTTTGGAAGCTGCCCCTGGTGAACAAGAGAAGCCCATTTCCCTCACTATGTCTTCTGCCCCGTGACCCTTCTTTGCTGTTTCTCCTGCTTTCCAGGTTTCCAGGCCACGTAGCTCAGGCAACTTCCTTGAAAACAGGATTGTCCCTGTTGTCATTGCTCTTTGCCACCGTGGAAAATGGAGAGAAAATGCTCTTCTCTCCTTCAAGTCAGCCAAGCAGGACTATTAGGGAGTCCACTTGCTCCTGAAGATGGTCTTCTCTGATTCCCAACCTGGGTGGCTCTGACCTTGTTTCCTGGATCAAAAATGTTTGCATCTCCACAGGGGACTCCTGATCCCATAGAAACCACTGCTGTTCACTGAGTAGCATGTGTGCCCAGCTTTCTGTGGTCCCAGGAAAGAGACCCCTTTCTTTGAGCCAGGGCAGCCCCAGTATGGGAGTGTCTTCCCAGGAGGTGGGCAGCTGTGGATTTCTGTGGAGAGCAACAACAATAAAATGGCATTGGTACTATTAAGATAACATAAAATATATTAAACCAAGTGGAGTCACTTATGTTAACTAAAATGGCTGTCAGTCAGTCATGACACTTTGGTTCCAGAGGAAAATTCCCTAAGTCAGAGTAAACGCATCTGGCAAGGAGACAGGTCTGCCCATGTGGTGAGAGAAATGTGTAGCAAGGAGACATACCTACAATATCTACACACATGTTCAAAGAGCTATGTCAGCGCAGTGAGACCACCCACAGCTAGGCTCCTGGGGAAATTCCACACTTGGCATTAGGAGTGCCAAGACATTTACCGAAAAGACTCAGAAGGGTGGGGTACAACATTTTCAAGGTATAACTGAGGCAGGTTCCATTCCATTGCTGAGATAGCTGAGCTCCACACACCAGAGTGCTGCTCCCCGCCACGCCGATCTCCCTTGGCAACAGTCACTGGAGGCTCTACCGCTTCTGGACTGAGTACTTCTCCTGCCCTGCTGCCCTCCTGACTCTGGACATTTTTTCCTTGCAAGACAATGGCAACTCCCTTGCCCACTGTGCTGTCTCTCAGACCTGCAGACTGCGACTCTGGACTCGGGATTGTTATCCCCCTATTGATTGCCGTGTGTGTGGGTTCTATTACTCTCAGGCTGTTAGCGTGTAAGTAGGATATTAATGTATGCTGATGGTCTACTTTGAGTGAATCTGCATTCAATCAAAGATGGGTAAATAGCATAGTTACTGTGTGTGGCTCTTGTCTATTCCTTGGTGCCAGGCTGCTCAGCAGGCAGCTAATCAAACAGTTGCCTGGCTGCCTTATAGGAAAGACTACATCATGAACAAGATGCTTGTGACAGTTTCCCACCCACCCAACTGCTATCTGCCTGTCATTCACATGGTGATTTGGTGACTCTAAGCAGACTCAGGGAAAAGCTGGCACAGTTATGCCAACACCCAGTGTGATGCTTGCCTAGTCTGCCTGCTGCCTGGGGACAGAGGAGAGAGAGAGGAGGGACACTGGAAACTCAGGAGTCCTCTGTGTCAGACTATGTCTGGGCCATGAGTCCCATGCAGGTTGGGAGCACAGGGCAGCTGTGTCCTCCAGAGGCTCAGCTTACCAGTCTGGAGGGTGGGGCAGATCCCTGTGTGTGCAGCACCTGAGACACATTGAGACCTTGCCCACTAATACAGAAACCATCCTCATTGTCCTAGAATCTGTCCCAATGTGATCAATATTCACTCCTTTGGGGAGAATGAAGGGACATTCATGGAGAGAGGGTAGAACCTTCCCTGTGTCTTAAATTCAACTGGGCCAGAACCCTTAGTCCCAGCCAGAGGAAGTGAGACTCAGGGACCAAATGTGGAAACCATTGCTCTAAGGTTGGTGCTTCTCCAGCCCTGTGTCCAAACACTGGGACTAGCGCAATTGGCTCCAGGCTCTCCAAGGGTCTGAGTGAAGATCTGAATTTCTGCCTTTTCCCTCTCTCCCAACAGCCACCTCCACATGGACAAGGGGAACATGGGTTCATTCCCATCCATGTAAGCCCTGCACCCTCTTAGAAGGTTGGGGCAGCTGGGGACAGTGGGTTCACAGGTTGTTTTTGTGTCTTTGCACACACAAGGGGACTACAGAGGACTGGTTCTGCACCCTCTGGCAGACCGCCTCTTTGGCCTTCCACACCCTGGTTGTCCCTCTTTGTCCTGCATTCCTCCTGCCACTGTCCTGATGGCTGAGGACCTCTATCAATACTCTATGGGGCTATAGAAGGGGAAAGGCAGCCTAGGGCAGCACAGGGTACTTAGTTTCACTTCTCTTTTCCTCATTTGGGTGGAGTGCATTCAGGGTGAGTCTGTTACACATTTCCTGCTCAGAGCTGGGCAGTCTCACTGAAACCAGGCAGGAGAAACCAGAGGGATCAGAGGTCCTGGCAGGATCAAGGGCAGGACGATGGCCACCAAGGGCAGTGACCTCAGCACCAGGTCAGTTTCTGTCTGCCTTCCTTTAACTTTCTCTCTGGCTATGGTGCTGCTTTAGTACCTATTATTTATTAGACACTCCTCTAAACCCTGACCTTAACCTTGTTTATAGGAACACTCACGTGCAGTGTAATGGAATGCAGGAATATGCACTGAGGGAAGCGGATCTTTAAACAGCAGGGGGACAGCTGCAGGTGTGAGTGCAGCTGCCACAGTCCACAGGACACTTGTCTTACACCTACTGCTCTGCTGTGGAGTCATTTCGACACGGTTGTGCTTCCTGAGGTTTTGAGGCAGTGATTTGTTATTTTCTCATGACCTTTGTGCCCTCTCTTTTCCCTCAGGCCTCCTCTACTTTCACATTGGTCATTTCAAGAGGGTACTTTAGAAAATATAAAATTCAGGTTAAACATCTGACTTTTCAATGGGTGCCATGGTCCCCTACCGGACCTGCATTGGGTCAGCACCAGGCCTACTCTGGTCTCAGGCTGGGGGGTCTGGTTCTTCCTCCAGGGATCTTGGTAAGGGAGTCAAAAGAAGAGAAAGGACCAAGATACCAAAGACTAGTGCAGGTTAAGTGTTCCATTTGTACTTTCATTTTCTGCTCCCGAGAGGTTTACACATTTGGCAAAGAAAAGGCTAGAAATCCTTTCACATTAATCATCACATGGATCCATCTCATTGTTTTTAATGGCCACAAGCTACTGCATGGAATCCATGCACCATAATTCTTTACCAATGAGCTCTGAAATATAATTTTATATGTCTTTATGTTTTTGCATATACCCCAGTATTTGTGTAGTTTCAAAAACCGAAATGTGAAATTGTTGAGGGTAATAACACTCACTTGTTTATACTGCAGATCCTGCTAAGTTGCCTTTTTTATTTTCCTATGGCTGAACCACTGTATTCTCCCAGCACTGGCTGATGAGACATCTGTCCACACCCAGACTTCACAAAGGAGCTGGGTTAAGGGATATAGCCTGCTAATTTGCATTCTCTGATTACATGGGAAGTTGAACAGGTTTTGCTGTCTATTGTCTATTTAAATTGCTTCTTCTCTGAACTGTTGGTTTATTTTTGACCAGTGTTATTAGTTGAGCTGATTGTCCTTCCTTTAATGACAAGGTAGAGTTTGCTGCTTAGTTTGAACTTTACAAATATACTTTTCTTGTCTTTAATTTTGTTTCTGGTGACTTCTATCATATTAAAGCTTGAAATTTGGAGTATCTACTTGTAGTATTAATTTAATAAAATGGATACACCTTGGTTATTATAAATAAATAAAAGCAATACCAAAAGTTACTGGTGAAATTCCATGCAGCTCTACTTAAACACAGTCCTTGTGTTCTTTAAGGTGGCAGATTCAATTTCACCTCTATTTCAGAGATGCTTCCTTCTCCAATATGGTGTAAAACTTTATTTTTCAAATTTTGTGCAAAATTATTCTTTCATTGATGCAAATTGAGCTCTCACAGCTTTATATGCCCCCTAAACTTTTATTCTTTAGTTTTTTACTTTGTGTTCATAATGGTTCTCTCAAATTCTTTCTCTGAGACAATTATTTTACTTTTAGCTCTTTCTTTGGTTTTGTATAATTTCTAATTGGAAAGAGTTAATTCTGTTTGTTTTTCGAGAGTGGTCTCAATTTCCTTCCATAGCTCTGCAAGCTCAACTTTAAACCACATTTTGTTACTAAATCAAGAAATCTGCACACTGTTGCTTTATTTATATAGGTGTTTGTGTGACATTAAGTGTTTTTGGATGTCTTCCTTGACTGCTGAGTCTTTCCTGAAAGTGAGCCCTGTCTGTAGCTTGGTGTCTGTGTTCCTTCACTTTCTTTCTCTCCTGCCTGCCATGGTTGTACAGCCTACCTCACTCATGTTTGACTTTTTGCACCATTCTCATCTGGATGAATTTTTAAAAATATTTTCTGTCTTATCTGAGACTGAATTTCTTGGCATCTAATATACAGTTTGAAGGACTTATCATTTTTCTTGTCGTTTTCTCTGAGACACCACATTTGGTTAACCATCCTGTTGCCCTCTGCTCTACTGCCCTTTTCATTACCCAGTGGCCACATGTGCAGGGTCTGCTCTGTGCTCTCTCTCCCCTGCCATTGGCGTATAATATCCTCTCCTAGTGCCACAATGACTGTCAGAGTACAACAACTTCATAAGAACTTTGACATCTGGCAGAGTGCATCTTCCTATCTTCTTTTCCTTTTCAAAATGCCTCATCCTTTTGCATATCCAAACCAGCTAGTCAAAATCTTGTTGAGATTTATATTGGGATTGTAATGAATTTGTGGAATAACTGAAGAGAATTGACATCATTATGATATTGATTTTGTATCTCATTAATATGGTATATGCATACTATTAATTTAAAAATATTCTCTAGAGATTTCCAGCCAAGATGGAAGTGTAGGTATATCGCACTGTGCCTCCTCCCACAACCAAAAAAGGACAAGAAAAAAAACTTAAAAAGAAAAAAGCATGCAGAACTGCCAGAAAATCAAACTATATGGAAGTTGGACAACCGAAGACTTAAAGAAATATTCATCCAGACTGGTAGGAATGGAGGAGATGGGCAGGTGGGGCAGAGAGGACTCATGGCATGGCAGTGCCTAGAGGACTGGGGAAGGCAAGGTGGCATCTTGTGGACCAGGTGAGGTGGTAGCTGGCAGAGTGGGTGGTCTCACGTTTTCGTGCAGGTAAACCGGGAGGAACAATGGGGGAGTGAGACAGATCAAGCAAACTAGTGTTCCAGCGTGGAAAAATAAGGCATCGAAAACCCCTGATGAAAAAATGTTGTGGGGTTTTGTTTCAGCATGGGAAGCTCCCAACTCACAGGAGAGTTCGTTCAAGAGACCCACAGGGTTCTAGAATATACACAAACCCACCCACCTGGAAATCAGCACCAGAAGGGTCCAATTTCCTAGTAGGTAGTGGAGGAAGTGACTGAAAGCCAGTCAAGAGCCCAGCAAGCCACATTGTTCCTTCTTGGACCCCCATCCCCCATATTGCACCAAAATGCAGAAACATGGGTTGTCCTGCCCTGGTGAAACCTAAGGCTCCATCCCTTACTAAGTAACAGGCATGCCAACACAAAAAAAGTGGCCCAAATGGAAGAACAGATCAAAGTTCTAGAAAAAAATATAAGCACGCAATGAAGTGATAGCTAATATATCAGATTCACCGTCCAAACACTGGTATCAAGATGCTCACAGAAATAGTTGAGTACGGTCTCAAAATAGAGGAAAGAATGCACAGGGAACTTAACAGTGATGGGATGGAAACTGGAACTCAAACCAACAGTTTGGGACCAGAAGGAAGAAATGAACATTCAACAAGAACAGAATGAAAAAACAAGAATTCAAAAAATGAGGACAGTCTTAGAAACCTCTGAGATAACTTTAAATGTTGCAACATTTGAATCATAGGGGTGCCAGAAGGAGAAGAGGAAGAGCAAGAAATTGAAAACTTATTTGAAAAAATAATGGAGAACTTCCCCAATCTGACCAAGGTAATAGCCTCCCAGGAAGTCCATGAAGCTCGGAGAATCCCATAGAAGTTAGACCCAAGGAAGCACACAGCAAGGCACATCATAATTACATCACCCAAGATTAAAGAGAAGGAGGTGGATATAATCTTAAAAGCAGCAAGAGAAAATGAAAGAGTTACCTACAAAGGAGTTCCCATAAGACTATCAGCTGATTTCTCAAAAGAAACCTTACAGGCAAGAAGGGGCTGGAAAGAAGTATTCAAAGCCATGAAAAGATAGGACCTACATCCAAGATTTCTCTCTCTAGCAAAGCTCTCATTTAGAATGAAAGGGCAGATAAAATGCTTCCCAGGTAAGGTCAAGTTCAAGGAGTTCATCATCACCAAGCCCTTATTATACAAAATGTTAAAGGGATTTATCCAAATAAAAGAAGATCCAAAACTATGAGCAGTAAAATGACAGCAAACTCACAACTATCAACAACCGAACCTAAAAAAAAGAAAAAACAAACTAAGTAAACAACTAGAACAGGAACAGAATCATATAAATGGAAATAACATGGAGGGTTATAAACAGGGAGGGGGAGGAGGGAGAATGTGGGAAAAGGTACAGAGAATAAGAAGCATAATTGGTAGGTACAAAGTAGACAGTGGAAGGTTAAGAATAGTATAGGAAATGTAGAAGCCAAAGAAGTTATATGTATGACCCATGGGCATGAACTAAATGGAGGGGGGGAAAGCATGTTGGAGGAGGGGTAGAAGGCAGAAGGGAATAAAGGGGGGGAATGGTACAACTGTAATAGTATAATCAATAAAATATATTTAAAATATTTTCTAATAAAATTTATAGCTTTGACTCTAGATGTTTTATACTCATTCTGCTACATTTATTTGTACATACCTTTTTTCTTAAATCTGCATAATTTCACATCAACTTTCTAGCTGCCTGCTACTAAGATATAAAAATAAATTAATCTTTGCCACTTTCCAATTTTAGTAGCTTATATGGTGATATATATGAACTTACATAATGTATACCTAGTGACAATTTTGTTTCTTTATAATCTTTACACTTATTTTATTTTCTTTGCTTATTGTGTTGGCCAGGACTTCCAGGATTATGGTGAGCACAAGTAATGCTAGTAATCATCTGCAAATTGAGCCCAGGTCCAAAGAGAAAGCTTTTCTCATTGCCCCATTATGGTTGATGTTAGCTGTACGTTTCCTTTCTTAATATGGAAACTTGCACAGATTTTTAAAAATGTATATCTAATGTTTTTAGTGTATGAGGTGTTTCTGGCCCTGTTTTCTACACTTTTCTGCTGTTCTCACTTCCAAAGATTATTTAAATAAATTTTTTGGGGGGAATAATATTATATTTATAGAAAAGTTGTAAAGATACTCAAGAAATTTCTGTACACTTCACACCTAGTTTCACATCCTGTGATATTATGCTCTTACACTGCTGTGATACACTTATCAAAACAGAAAAACCCA